GATAGATTTCACAATTACTGTGCTCGTAATAATTTAAGACTCAATTTAAATAAATGTAAAGTAATCACTTTCACAAAAAAACGGAATATAAGCTACTTTAACTATTCTCTTAACGGTACAGATATTGTAAGGGTGAATAATATAAGGGATTTGGGAGTGACTTTTGATAACAAATTACATTTTGATATTCATATACAAAACATAATTAGTAAAGCTTTTAAAATGTACGGACTTGTTATGCGTTCTTCCACTGAATTTAGAAACCCCTTCACTTTAATCTATCTTTTTAAATCTTTGGTCAGGCCACAATTGGAGTACGGAGCGCCTGTATGGAACCCACTTTATAATAAATATAATCATAGCATAGAAATGGTACAAAAAAAGTTCTTGCGTCGCATTAATTATAAATATCACCGTGAGCGTTTATCATATGTGCTCCTTTTAACTAAATATAAGCTCTTAGACTTAAGGTCTAGGCGCACTCAACTTGAGGCAAGATTACTTTATGATCTGTGCAATAACAAGTATGATTGCGCAGATATAATTAATCGCATTAGTTACTCCGTACCATCTCGGGCACGTATGCGTTCTTTGCGTCCTCACTCACTCTTTGCTGTGCCAAGATCTCGGACAAACGCTGGTATCAGATCACCCCTTCATCGTATGGTTGACACATACAACAAAAAATTTAATTCTGTAGATTTATTTACTTGCAGTGCCAGATCCTATAACAGACAGCTAGTAAACTTGCTGTTAAACACTTAATATCTCTTTAAAGACCTAAACTACCTAATACTAATTATAAATCATCTAACCAATGACTATATGACGCGTGCGCGATCGCATGCGAGCGCATATATGCTAACACACTAAACTCTAACCTCTAATATATGTCAAAAAATATTTCAGAAATTAAAATACTTTTCTTTTACAAAACTAGGTCCCTCACATATTATCTTATTTTTTTTATACTCAATGTGTGACCATCGTCGTTGAGTTTATAATAAGTAATAAATTGTAATAGAACATAAGCATTAACATAAGACATATTGTAAACTTGTTTGTGGTTCTCTAAATAAATTAAAAAAAAAAAAAAAAAACTCTGCAAGCACCTAGCGAGTTATTGATTAAAGTGCGGTGTAAGCACCGCAGTTGAATGGAACAGAGTAGCTGAAAGAAGTGTCGCCTCAAATAGTTCAATGGTTTTAAATGTAAATTTATCAGTCTCTAGAGTATTATATTAATACACAAAGGAATGCTCCTGTGGTTTGCTGTTTATTTTTTTGCACATTTTTAACTCTTTTTAAATTTTTCTTCTTTTATGAAAATTTGTAATTTGGTTTATTTATTTTTAATCTAACTGATATAAAATATAACTAATTAAAGAGAATTAAAAATTAACCTTTACCTTTTTTTGAACAAATTAACTCCCTCACGATGAAATCTGTCAAATATTACACCTCATTTTTAAGTGGTGCCGCCCTGATGGCAGAAAAAGTGGATGCTCTCGTTGACGATTCGGTGATATTACCCGCGTACCGCGTACCGATACATATTATAGACTACGCACACTATCACACGCAGGAATAAATGTTATTAAAATTGATAATTATCAGTAGATAATCATCTTGATAATTATGCCGTGCAACCCTGAGTGGTGGTGTTAAAAATTCACATTTCCATTCTTCCCCTGGGTGTCGTAAGAGGCGAAGTAACCAAATGAGCATCAGTGTCTTCACAACAACCACTACAAAATCCCACCCACCTGCTTATTGTGGCAACGCAGGAAAATATAATCTATTGGGGGGCCTGTGATCAGCAGAGGACCTTCAAAGGTTGTACTGGATATATGGAAAGTGTGACAAAACTTTTAAAGGGGATAGGTTAAAATACCATTTACTATCGCGCTGTAACTGAACGATCGGGTAAGATGATCGAGGGAGGAGTCTACAACTATAGCTCGAATTGTTTGATTTTTTTATACAATAAGGGTTACAGTAGATAAAAGAATAGTATAGTATATACAGTATAGTATATAGAATAGTAGAGTAATAGAATAAGGGTGCTCGTTGCACATAATCCACCTGATGGTAAATGAATGCTATGGCCCATAGACATCTACATTTATACTCGATTAAGAATCAAGCGTTGCGTTGTCGCCTCTGAGGACTAAGATGGAATTACTCGTTTCCAGTAAAAAAGGGTCTCCGGATCTCTAAACTCACCATACGAATCACAGCAGTATTAAGCTGCTATTTTACGCTGGTATTTTGTGAGAGAGTGATCCTTCCCCGGCCGAGTGGACCCATTGCTACAATTATAACTCAGATCATATAAACAACGGGAGATATGGCAAGGAGGCGTGGCACTTGCGAACGCATCAGGCCGCAAAGCGGCCTGATGCCAGTTTCGGTAATTACTCGAATGTCAACTTGTGACGTCTTCACTGCTCGTGATTTTTGACAAAATGCCGCGTTGTTCAGTGATTGTTTGCAAAAATAACAGCTGTATTGTGAATTACATGAAAGATGGCATCTCATTTGACACGTAAGTACTAAAATATTAATGTTTTTCTTATTCAGTTTATTAAAACATTACTTCATGGTACTAGAAACACGATGAAAAACGAAATCAAATGTTTTCATTAGGAACAAAAACCATTGCTTGCTTAGTACAAATCGACCTGTGAATCAGCTGGTCTAATAGCGCAATGGATAAGTGTTTTACTGATACTCTCACTCACACGATAGTTTCGTGAAGCAGCCGCTGCCGGCTTTTGTGAGTGAATGATAGCGACAGATGTTTTTGTGTGAATAAGTTTTGTACGGTGCATGGTAAATGCACGCTGCATATGATGAGATAAGGTTTATAATTGGTTGTGTAGTATGTTCTGATTTATAAAATGCGAGTGTGTGCGCGATTGTGTATCTATTACTTTTACTGATGTGCATATGTAGTAGTTGGCGCGTTGGAGCGGGCCAACTGGAGACACCGGGTTCCGATACATTTTCAACTACTGAGCATATCTCCTTATTTCTTATATCTATGAATTATAATATAGCTGCAGCGTGGCTCTACAACGTATAAATTCATTAATTCCTTACAAGCTATCAAGTCAGCTGCAGAACATGTCTGCTCTCTCCTATAGATTGTTTCATAGAGAGGTTGACATAATTGCCTCCCTCTGCAGACGTGTTGGCTGCCGCAGTTTATATTATTTTGAGTTATTATCAGAAAACTGCTGCCCATCTTCCGTTGGAGCCTCTTAAGAATATAAGGTAGTAAATTCACTTACGGCGCCATTATACTTTCTTTTTAATAAGATAGGGTGACAAACGAGCAAACAGTGCACCTGATGGTAAGTGGTTGCTGTGGTCAATAGACATCTACATCGATACTCGACTACAAATCAAAATGCAGATGCGTTCTCACCCCTGAGGACTAAGATGGAATGCCTCACTTTTTGCAAATTGCACACAGCAGCATTTAACCATTTTACGCTGGTATTCTGTGAAAACGTGGTCTTTACATGGTCGAGCCGACCCATTCATGCTACAACTATACTACTAATATAGTTGCAGCATGGCTCTACCACGTATAAGTACCAGTAAGTACGTACAATAAGTGAGGGCGGCACTGAAAATTTCGGGAATCAAGGAAGTGACACAACATTACTATTTAAAAATGTATTTATTGCTTTTCGAAGTATTCTCCGCGAAATTTGACACATTTTTCCATACGATGGACACAATCATTGAAGCAACCATTCCATTCGGAAGTTGGGGTCTCCAAAATGGCCGTTTTGTAGGCGTTCACAGCTTCTTCAGGTGATGAAAATCTCTGTCCACGCAATTTATTCTATATTTTAGGGAAAGTAATTGTAGAAATCATTAGCTTAGGTCGGGGCTGTACGGCAGATAGTCTAGTAATTCTATGTTTTCTTGCTCTAAAAACTCTTTTGTTCTGTGTGCGGTGTGAGAACTCGCATTGTCGTGATGGAGGATGATGCGGCGGTTGCAGTTCTCTTTGTTAGTTAGACTTACTCAGTTTTTGGACGACCTTGACGGGGATCATCACTGAGCTTGACAACTCCACGTTGAAATTCAACAAACCAGCGATAAATTGTGGTTTTGGATGGGGCTTCATCACCAAACGCAGAAATCATCCGGTCAACACACTGTTTTTGTGTTAAACCACTTCGAAAGTCATAATAAATCATCGCTCTTGAATTTTCTCGAGTCAATTCCATTTTATCAACGTCTAAACAAGTTTGACAAAACCTTGTGACAAGACCGAGAATCTTTTTTTAAATAAATAAATGGTATTCGATTTTTAAAACCAAGGAGTTTTCAATTAAAAAGATTTTAATATGACAGGAACAGTGGAAATATTCCATTCCCGATACTTTTAGTGCAGCCTAGATACTGCGTGATTACATCCATATATTTACTAGGTAGCTAGATTATTTTTCTACCTGGATGTCCGTCTGTGAATGTACCTCTTTTTTATCAATTTCTCCCGCTCAATATCATATGCTTGCACTACTGTGCTCCAGGCTGAAGGGTATACAGAAACAGTTTAAGTACAGGATGTGAGGCATTCCACCTTAGTCCTCAGAGCCGACAATGCATCTGTCGACTTATTAGCTGGACGTTGGCTGCATGAACAGCAGTAGCCACGTTACCAGGTATACTGTACGTTCATTTGTCATTTGTTTCCTATATAAAAACACCCAGTACGACGGACAGATTATACCTATTAAATATGACATTACCCATATTACCCTATTCCGTTTCCTCCCCAAAACTGGATGGAACAATTTTTTTATGTATGAGGTACTCGTACGAACGATGTTATTTGATCTTGCTTACTTACCCTTTGGCACTATGACATCTCAAGCGTAAGTTAACAGGTTCAGATTATTCGGTAGCGATAGTCTACCAGGAACACATATATATGTAGGAGATTCAAACGGTTTTACTTGTTTTTGGCTGACTTACCGAGAACATAGAAAAGAATGTGCTATCCTGGCTGGCGGTTCTATTTCGCAGCACGCAAGTGGATACGGAGAACTCTTCAATGCTGACCAGAGGATGGAAGTAAGCAATCCTGCAGCCGTGACATCCCGGCTCGGTCAGGGTTATACTGAATATTCCATCGCCCCATTGAAAATATTGGCCTGCAAGGGCATTATAGCAGTATTTAACTTTGTATTTTTATTTTCAGTCGTTATTAGACAAGACGCTGCCCACTCACTGTCGACTGTTACGACACCAGGGGATGATATGGGGTAGTGGATATTCTTACACCGCCACTACGATATATAATACGGTATTGAATTTCGTATAGCAACATTCGAGGTATAATTAAATGAATGATGTCAATAGCGCCAATATAATTATGAGAGGGTTCTCGCCATACGTAACGAAATTGTTATTTGTTATTTTAACTGTTGATGGCGGAGAAGGAAAACACAAACAAAAAAAAGAGATAAACAAGTGAGCGACCCTATAGACAGAAATAAAAGAGGACAGAGGACATGTGAAGTTTACCGACACGTAAGCCGACTAATCGCTCAGCCCTCTCGGAAATGCTAGGACCTTATTTTTTTCTTTCACATTTCATGATTCCGTTTAGATTCCGTTTTTTGTGCCCAAAAACGATTGTCTCCTTTACCGAAATTTACATGGCACTAAATATTTTAAGCATTCTTTATTTGTTTCACGTTCATGCCAAGGTCAGGTTAAGACACTGTGTTTTTTTTTAAAATTCGGCTGTTGCAGAATACCAGCGGTGACCTAAAATCACCACATAGCTGAGTCACAGGACAGTTTTAGTCTCATTACTTTTATGTTACTTAAGGGGTAACTCAGCTCAAATTCTAACTTGGCCCCCACTTCCCCGCGCGTCGTATGCTATGTACCGACATGTTTATAATCACTAATACTGTAAGTAAATAGGTCGTTAGATACTTATTTCATTAGGTTTGTCATATTTATGCCTGTTTCCTTACTCTAACCCAGTCGCTTCTTATTTTTATTACGGTTATTTCCCATTTTAATTTTACGTCGTTCTGTTGCGTAATGTGTATTCTGATCGTAAGCGACACAACCTCCCCGTTCAAAAGCAAAAATAGAAAGAAATACAAATAAAATAAGTCTCCAACTCGAAGGAACGACTTACCAGATATCCTCATATTCCCGGCGGTAGGAGAAGGATGGAAGTAGTTGTGAGAGAGACGCCAGCTGTCGTTCTCTCGCAAGGAATACACAATGAGGCCGAAGGTTGCGAGGTCTATGACGTAAGCGTATGCATTCCTACAGTCGCCGACGATGTCTACCGTTATTGAGGCCAGACCTGTGATGTAAATATTGCATTCATCATCGTCCAGAAAGATATTTTTTGGTTTTTATTGTTGAATTGAATACAGCTATAGATATACCTGTCTACCTGAAGGTAAGTGGATGCAGTGACATATAGGCCATAGGCGTTTACATCTACCTACGATTAAGAATGTGAATGTAGATACGTTGTCATCTCTGAGGGCTAAGATGAAATGCCTCGTTATCAGCAAATCTTCGAGGTCTTTGGTGCTCTACATTCACCATCCGGTTCTCTACACTGACCATACGAAACAGCATTTAACTCATATTTTACGCTGGTATTCTGTGAGAGCGTGGTCCTCCTCCGGTCGAACCGATCTATTCATGCTACAGCCATACGAAAAAAAAATAAAGGGCAATTTTTTCCGCCTTTCGATATTTTGATTGGAGCACGTGGCTAGTATGATATGTAAATGACATCATCTGAGGCGTCACGCGCGGTCATGGCTGTTTTCAATCAAAATAATTATTGCTGTAATTTTTTTTTAATATTCTTTTCTTTAATATATCGCCAATGTGGTTGATAAACTTCCGTATAGAACGTCCCTTGACGACTGCTACTCTCTTGTGCAGTATATAATTTCACATTGTAAAGTCATGGCTTTATTTCTTCTACCTCTGAATGTGAAATTATTTTATTCTTTTTTCTTAATAGAATAAGCGTGTAAAACAGTCGACTGATGGTAATTTGAAGCTGTGACCCGTAAACACCTATATTTATCCTCGATTAGGAATCATAATGCAGATGCGTTGTCACCCCTGAATACTAAGATGGAATGCCTCGTTTTCAGTAAAAAGGGTCCCCAGTTCTCTACACTCCCCATACGAAACACAGCAGCATTAAGCTGCTATTTTACGCTGGTATTCTGTGAAAGTTCTTCCCCGGTCGAGCCGACACATTCATGTTACAACCTTAATAGTTGCAGCGTGACTCTACCACGTTGATTGCCTAATAGGGATTCGACCATAGCTGCCACGCTTGGCAGGCGTGTTGTGGTTATGGAAACCGAAGGTTTTTTTATTATTTTGAGTAGTTATCAGGAAGATGCTGCTACATATCCTTTGATTTAGTTCCCGCTGTAGCGACATCCACGGGACGATATGGGGTAGAGGATATTCTTACACCACTATACTTAAAAGTATATAATAGTAGGAATCCGTAAAAAAAGACGACCAATATTTTTTTAATTAAAATTTCAAACCTGCAGGGGTGTTGGCATTTATGAGGTCGGAGCTCTTGAGTGGATACCTCATGATTTGTTGGTTTGTCGCAAGATCATAGATCACAATGGCCGGCGCTTGAACCTGGCGAGGAGCCCCTAGAGATATTATTTGATTTTTAGAATAGAGTAAGTTATATTTATGCGAGTAATAAATCCGCCCCGGCTTCACATGTTGATTCCTGGATCTCGACAACAGCGCAGCGCTACTCACTTGGTCCAATTGTGAGTCTGAACTATACAGGGACCTACTCAAACACACACAAAAAATTTCATTAAATTCGGTCCAGCTGTTTAATGGAGTTCAGTTATATACACAAGGACAAAAGAATTATATATACATATAAAGATAGATTACTTAGTAGCAGTAAGAACTTGTTGAAGCGATGCATAGCTTAAACACAGAATATCCCGGTAGGTGGATTGGACGCCTTGGCACAATTTTATGGCCTCCTCGTTATCCGGACCTAAATCCACTTGACTTCTTTTACTGCAGCTGCATAAAAGAAAAAGTGTACTTGGAACCAATACAAAATCTAGCCGAACTACGTCGCAAAACAGCTGAAACATCAGAGGAAAGAAACTGGAGGAGATACGCACGATTAGTGAAAAGATCTTTTCTGAGGCGATACAGCGCCTGTATTCGTGCCGAAGGCAAACAATTTGAACATTTAATTTAGTTTTAAGAAAAAAATAAATGTATTATAATATTTCCTATTATTGTTAAATACAGTCACCATACGACAATTTTCATTAGCATACTTTGATATTTTGTTGTTCGAGTTTTTTATGTTCTAAATTGTTAATAATCATGATAATATTGTTACGAGCTTAGGGTTCGTGACAATAAAAACTTCCGATTGAATTACCAAAATTGACATATTAATTATCGAACACCGATTAAAACTTAAAACACGCCAATAATTAATCACACTTAACACTTTATTTCGCGGTTCTTACTGGCTATACATAGGGCCTTTTCCACTAAAACATCTAGAATATTCGAGTTCTCCTAGTTCTGCTACTCCATACTAGATGGCGCTAGTGAATTTTCATCCTCTTGACGCTCCTATTTCTGTTATTTGATACTAGATAGCGCTAACAATAACCCGCCATGTACTAGACATTAATTATGGCGCGCAACAATATTTTTTTATGGAAAGATCAGTAGCAAGTGTTGCACCATTTTGAAATCTTAATGAAATGGTAAATATTTTAAAACAACTTGCCTATGATAGTATAGTAAATTTTTTAAAGACAAGGCGCCGAATTTATTTGTTAAAACGTTTTTAACCGTCACCTAAATAAATTTTATTTTTTTGTACTTAGCTAACAATATTAGGTATTGGATTTGTGACTGCAATAAATAAAATAAAAATAAAAATGTTTTATTGTTCAGGCATCGTAGGCCCATAGCAGGTTAGTAATACAAATAAAACTTAAGAACTAATGTTAGTACGCGAAACGATTAAATGAAACAAAATAAAAAATAAAAATTCACATACAAATTTGATAGATTTATCAAGCTCACTTTAGTACATAAGCTTGACAAACCTACCAAGTGTCGGGCCATCGAGCCTCTCCGTAAAGACCCTCAAGATACTATTCGAGCTCCCCCTCACTCTGCGCATTAATGACTCCACTTTTTTACGCATGATCGCGAAGTAGTCATCAGTATGCGCATCGGCGAACATGCCTGATGCACTACAATGAGGTGGAAGCCCCAACAATAACCTGAAGGCATTGTTATATTGAATACGCAGGGTATTGCTTGCCTTTTGGGTATGATTGGCGCAAAGGCTGGTATAAAATGATTGGCAGTACGCCTTGAACAGTGTAATTTTAACTGGTACAGAGCAAGCAGCAAACCTTCCAGCCACCATATTACCTCTCACAGCTAGCGCCTTGCGTTCCCTTTCGATATCTAGATCATGCTTTAAATCCTCTGTGACAATGTGACCCAGGTATTTAAAATGAGTTACTCTCCGTAACAGTGAACCACTAAGCTTTACTGGGGAACACATATTGGACTTTTATTTCTACCTCTGAAAACTAACAGTTCACTTTTTTTTTAGCATTATATTTTAATCCATGCTGCTCAGCATAATTCTCACAAATGGAAAGCAACTTTCGTATTCCACAGATTGACGGGCTCAGCAGCACCATGTCGTCTGCGTAGCTCAAGTTATTTAGACGTACTCCATCTATATGATAACCAACATGTGTGCTGCTAAGCTCCTCAATCAGCTTATTTATATAGATATTAAAAAGCCTCGGAGAGGTAAGACCCCCTGATTCACACCGCACTCAAGTTTATACGGGTCAGACAATGCATTGGACTACCTAACAAAATTTGTTTGCTTGTCGTACTAGGCTGCACTAAAAGTATCGGGAATGAAATATTTCCACTGTTCCTGTCATATTAAAATCTTTTTAATTTAAAACTCCTTGTTTTTAAAAATCGAATACCATTTATTTATTTAAAAAAAAGATTCTCGGTCTTGTGACAAGGTTTTGTCAAACTTGTTTAGTCGTTGAGAAAATGGAATTGACTCGAGAAAATCCAAGAGCGATGATTTATTATGACTTTCGAAGTGGTTTAACACAAAAACAGTGTGTTGACCGGATGATTTCTGCATTTGGTGATGAAGCTCCATCCAAAACCACAATTTATCGCTGGTTTTCTGAATTTTAACGTGGACGTGTCAAGCTCAGTGATGATCCCCGTCAAGGTCTCCTCAAATGACGTATACAACATTGTATCAGGTGACGAATCCTGGATATAGGCGTACGAACCCGAAACAAAAAACCAGTCACGAGTTTGGGTGTTCGAAAATGAGTTAAAGCCAACAAAAATTGTTCGTTCACGGAGTGTTGCAAAAAAAATGGTGGCCACGTTTGTCTCCAAAACCGGCCATGTTACGACTATTCCTCTTGAGGGACAAAGAAAGGTTAATGCAGAATGGTATGCTAGCATTTGTTTGGTGATGAAGCCCCATCCAAAACCACAATTTATCGCTGGTTTGCTGAATTTCAACATGGACGTGTCAAGCTCAGTGATGATCCCCGTCAAGGTCGTCCAAAAACTGAGTAAGTCTAACTAACAAAGAGAACTGCAACCGCCGCATCAAAAGAGAACAAAAGAGTTATTAGAACAAGAAAACATAGAATTATTAGACCATCCGCCGTACAGCCCCGACTTAAGCCCTAATGATTTCTATACTTTCCCTAAAATAAAGAATAAATTGCGTGGACAGAGATTTTCATCACTTAAAGAAGCTGTGGATGCCTACAAAACGGCCATTTTGGAGACCCCAACTTCCGAATGGAATGATTGCTTCAATGATTGGTTCCATCGTATGGTAAAATGTGTCAAATTTCGCGGAGAATACTTCGAAAAGCAATAAATACATTTTTAAATAGTAATGTTGTGTCACTTCCTTGATTTCCGAAATTTTCAGTGCCGCCCTCGTACCACATAGATAACGTAAACACTAATGACAGGCCCCCCCTTTCCACAGAACAATGTAGGAAAGCAGGTCAAAGGCTTTTGAAAGGTCCAGGAAACAAGCCCGCAATATTTACGTGTGCTTCATGCAAAAATAACACTCTCAGTAGTCCCACCAACTGCGAATCATGTAGTTTTATGTATTCACTGAGGCTCGAGTCAAGCACACTGTCAAATACTTTTGCTATCACAGTCGCCAATGAAATAGGTCTGTAATTACACTTATCTGCTATGTCTCCCGTCCTGTTTTTAACAATAGGTACGACTATAGTATATAGAAGCTCTTGTGGTAAGTAAGAATGTCCTAAACATAGATTAAAGAAAATGGTCAACACTCTTGGTAAATGTATTCCAGCGTTTTGAAGGTGCTCGATGCTGAGTCCGTCATATCCAGGAGATTTACCTTTCTTCATAATTTTAATTACAGATTTTAGTTCCTTACGTGTTACCTTCAGTGGTGATTCTGACTGACGGTGACTCCGCATTGTTCACTCTATGCACAGTTTCAAGAGGTGAGCTCAATTTAAAATGATTTTTAAAACATTTGTCACTCTTACCCTCCACGCTACCTGGAAGACTTGCGGTATTGCTTAATTTCCTAGTACCTTTCCAAAAATAAGAGAAACATTTTTTGATTGAAGTGAGGTCAATATATCCATTTTTATTTTTTCTTGATTTTTAATACACTATTTTCATTTAGATTTAAATATTTTACGCTATAGTCTCATATCTTCAAATATGGTCCCGCTACTAGGTTGGCCATACCACATCCACATTTTTAACTTAATCCTCGCATTGTTATGAAATTCTTTTACATATTTATTCCATCCCATTATACCCTTATATTTTCCTACAACACCCCTCGGGGCTTTACTATTTTTGGCTGCATCACATAGTATAAGTACAATTTTGTTATACATTTTATCCAACAAAACTTTATGTTCTGAATTATTACATTTATCTGCACATGATTCAAAAACCTTAGGAAAATCAAAAAATTTTAATTTATTATTACACATTGAGGAATATTTATTTATTTCTTCTGTATTTCTTACTCCCCAATGAATATCATTATAACTGGATTTTATAACGGTTTTTGCAGCCGATTGCGGAAAAATACAGTGGTCTAACCAACGCTTACACCCATGTGAGTCACTTATGAATGTCAACGTTGGCGATGACAAGCCCAAATAATCAATATCCGCACATAATAAATCTTGTTCTGTACAAAAACTAAGAAGTTCATTACAAAATAACTCACCCTGGTGCGCATTGAAGTCCCCTAATACAAACACTGATTCTATATTACTATTTTGTATCATAAAATACATTTCACTGAGACTTTCTGCAAAATGTGGTAAGTTTGCACTGCAGTCAGTTGGCATGTACATATTTATAATCATAAAACTTCGGTTATTCACCTCTATTTTAATAGAACAAATCCGATTGCTCTCACTTTGCACCACACTCACGTAACTAAATGCACTTTTTCGCCATAGTATGGCAAGACTTCCGTATGGCCTGCCTTTGCAAATACCAGCTGAAGTGTCCACTGAAGACTTGGCCGTGTAACTGAATTCTTGATCTACATTTTCTAGAAAGGATAGATCATGTGGATATAACCACCTCTCTTGTAATAAAATAATATCAGCCGTCCTGCACAGTGAACGTACATTGAGCTAATCTGGGCTCAAATAAAAGGTTACGCCGCCCGCCACAATACTTCCCCGCCATTTAGCATGAAAAAGATGATGACCCTATTAAAAGAAGCCTGCGGGGAAGTCACAAGAGATGACTGGGCAAAGGTTGTTGAGAAGACTAAAAACCTGATTGTGGATCTTTTCACATTTTTTACAATTAAATGTTACTATAAATAATTCAATTAAAAAACCTTAATATATAAATTCAATATAATAATGCAATCAATAGCAAAGTTATTTAGGATTACATAAAAAAACATTAAACATTTTAGAAACTTGTGATCACTGTACCTAAATATGTGGTCTAGGATGTTAATTATCAGCATTTTTAAAAGTTATTACTTAACAATAGTTAATAAGTTATTAAGTAACATATTATCACTTAACCAAGTAACATGGATTTTTTTTGTTTTTGCTAGAACTGGTTTAACCTAGCTTATGGCCTCGTACCCGCTTGACGTTGAGTTTCAGGGCAGCCTGTATATATTATATTTATAATGTAGTACCCGGTTGACCGAGCTTTGCTCGGTATTTTTCGCTCGTTTTTTTTTTAATTCGTGTGTTTTGGAAATTATATTTAGATACAAATTACATACTGATGAAATACGAATAATATTTTTTGATCTTAGCGACATAATAGAAAAAACTGAACTGGTTATTAGAATAAAAAATCATGAGTGCAATTAGTTTAATTTACATTTTCATGTTTTTAAAAAAATACTCAAAAAAAAGGGCTCGAATAAATAGATTTTCTCAAAACAGGAAGGAACTTCAAAGCAAGGTCGGTCGGTCTGGGCTCGAACCATGGTATTACGACTTTGTGACCGCCCAATATACCAATTAAGCTATTTGTAATCACTAACAAACTGTCAAATTTTACCTTCTTATTCTAACGATATTGTAGCAGTTTTTCATTGCCTAAAACACGGACAAAAAGACATTTTCTAAAAATAAATCCTAGCTAGATCGATTTATTGCTCCCGAAACTCCCTGCACAAAAATTTTTATGAAAATCGTATATATATATACAAGAATTGCTCGTTTATAGGTATAGGATAGAAGATTACATAATGTATTACTTAAGAGTATATTCCTTTTATTTATTTTTTTGTTATTTTTCTGTCTTGTACAGGGAAGAACCCGTACAATAGGAATTAGGAACCCCATTTTGAGATGGTAGCATATGAAGAAAAACCTCTTGACATTTTTTTATAGGATAGAATGACAAACGAGCACATAGTGCACCTAATGGTAAGTGGTTGCTGTGGCCCGTAGACATCTACATCTATCCTCGATTACGAATCAAAATACAGATCCGTTGTCATCCGTGAGGACTTATATATAATAAGGGTTTCCGGTTCTCTACACTCACCATACGAAACACAGCAGCATTACTACTATTTGACACTGGTATTCTGTGAGAGTGTGGTCCTTCCCCGGTCGAGCCGACCCATTCGTGCTACAACTATACTACTAATATAACTGCAGTATCGCTCTACCACGTAAATACGTCAAAAGCTATTTTAATTACTTATATAGAAAAAATTCTTACCAGGTATTTCAAATAGACCAGTGTCCACCATCCAAAGTCTCCCGCATCCATCAGCTCGAGTCCTATAAACGAACGTCAGGTTCCTACTCTGTCTTAAATTAGGGTACGGTCGAAGAGATGGGGAGCGAATGTTTGTATCCCTTTTCAAGTCAATGTAGTTGAGTGTCGCAAGTATACCTGGAAATGCAAAGAAAATTGTGTCGATCAGCGATATAACTATCTCGCTTGCGCCAGGCAGGAAGACAGAAGGGTCTTAACTAGTAGCATTTTATTCTAAAATGACTGTCTATAATGATTCTGTGTCGTGGTTATCCGTTATGGAAATTAAGAAAAGTAGAAGCCAATTTCCAACTCTGCTACTCACATCTGCAACATAGGTTTGCTTTGTCACTCTTTCTTCTTTCATTCTTTCTACAAATGACTAAACCATCGAACTATTTCTTTCATTATCCTGGTCATAACATTATCTTGACAAACCACACTTTTTTCATATCACACAATTACTCACCCTGTCATTCAGATTCAGCCCTAGCGTATTCCTTAATGGCCGCATTTATTCTATTCTCGTGCTTCTTCTGCCACACCCAACTTTCAATACTATACGTTAAAGTAGGGACTAACACAGCATTATGAATTGTCACACGTGCCATTTTAGACACATTCTCTCCTTTCACAATAGAATGTAGAGTATATCATCATCATCATCATCACTACATCCCTTCACAAGTCCACTGCTGAACATAGGCCTCCCCCAAAGAATGCCACAAAGCACGGTCTTGAGCCACTTGCACCCATCGATTTCCTGCATGTGTTACCAGTTCATCACTCCATCTAGTAGGGTTCGCCTCACACTTCGCCTACCGGGTACGCGGATGTCACTCAAGAACCTTACTTTCCCATCGGTTGTCGGTTCTTCGAACTATATGGCCGGCCCATTGCCTCTTCATCTTACTAATCCGTTACAAAAACGATATGTGAAATATGAATAGAAAAGAGGTTAAATGAACAATTGGACGAGTTTGTGTATTTAGGTTATGTGTTTAGCAGGGATGGTACACATTACAAGGATATAGACGTGGTAGGACCTCCAGCAGCTATAGTTATGGTTATAACAAAAATGGGTCAGCTCGAGCGGGGTATGACCACGCTTCTACAGAATGCTACCGTAAAATAGCAGCTTAATGCTGCTGTGTTTCGTATGGTAAGTGTGAAGAACCGGAGACTCTTTTTACTGGAAACGGGTCATTCCATTTTAGTCGTCAGGGGTGCCAATGCATCTGTATTTTGATTTTAATCGGGGATAAATGTAAATGTCTATGGGCCACTGCATCCACTTACCATCAGGTGGACTGTGTGCTCTTTTGTCACCGTATTTTATAAAAAAATGAACGACAAGTGAACGAAGGGAACATAGTAAATGGGGCTCTTCACTCTATTGTGGGATGTTAGAATGTGTCACTGAAAGTACGGATGGCAATTGGCAATACTGTTTTCATCCCTAATTTATTTTAGGGTAGAAAAATTTAGGATTGGCAGAAAGCATGAAGCATAAAAATAAAATTGATACTTTAAAAATGCGGTTATTAAGAAGTATATTAGGGCTGACTCTGCATGATAAAGTGAGGTTTGCAAGAAGATGTTATAACTAGGATTAGGAAAGAAATGTTTCGGTGGTTTGGACACGTAGAAAGACTCAAAGAGAAAATACTGACAAAGCAATGTGGCAGAAGTGAACGGCAGAGTCGGCAAAGGACTCCCTAGACCATATTATCGATATAATGAAGATGGAGCATCCTTATCCGATGAACATGAATGCGTAGATATATCAATGTGAAAGAGGTGTGTCAGAATCGTGCTATAGGGATGTCCGTTATCCGTTGTTGTCCATTGTTGGGATGATGTTTGTCAGATTTAGTAGTTCATACCATAACGTCTCCTCGGAAGGGACACAAACAATATGTCACCGACTCTTTCCATTCCCATCGGTAAATTGTTGTATTGTATGAAGAACCTTCCAGCTTCATCTGAAATTGTTAAACATTCAATTTATTTATTCTAAGAGCCACCCCAATCAAATCCCGGGTCTGGCAAAAACCAGTTGGTGGATTTTTCTGTCAAGATATTTTCAGTAGAAGCTCGAAGTCAGAAAATTGGTCGTGTTTGACTCTCGTGCCCGAAAAGCACGTAAAACCGTTAGTCCTGCGTCTGATCTCTCTCCGATCGTATTGTATTGACGTCGCATCGAACTATGAAAGCGAGGTAATAGAGTGTGCTTGCGTTGAGAAAGAAATTGATTTTTATATATGAAGTTGATAGTTGTAACAATATATCCACGTGATAGAGCCATGATGCAGTTACATTATAGTTGTAGCATGAATGGGTCAGCTCGACCAGGGAAAGACGCTCTCACAGAATACCAGAGTAAAATGAGTATAAACAACCGGAGATCCTTTTAACTGAAAACGAGGCGTTTCATCTTAGTTCTCAGCGGTGACATCGTATCTGCATTTCTATTTCTAATCGAGGATAGATGTAGATGTTTATGGATCATAGCATCCACTCAGCACCAGTTGTACTGTGTGCTCGTTTGTCACCTTATACAAGAGAAAAAGATATGTGAAGTGTGAAGTGTGATAATGTAAAAGTTAAGTAAAGTTACAGCCTACACACGTAGCCACTGCTGGGCACAAGCATCCATTCATTTATGAGAGGGTTTTAGGGCAAGGAAGTGTCCGCCGCGCTACCCCAATGCGTGGTGGTGAACTTTACATGTCTTCGAAATATTTTTTCTCTAATTCCTCAGACATGCAGGTTTCCTTACGATGTTTTCCTTCACCGCCGAGCATGTGGTAAATCAGCACTTGAATTTGCAATTAACAAATTGGTAAACAAATTGGTGCCGGCGGGGATCGAACCCGGGTTACTCGCGTTCTGTTATATTTACAGCGAGCGTTAACCATCTGAGCTACCACGGCACCTGTGATAATGTAATCAGGCATGTTTCAATTGAACACTGCTGGTCATTAATGGCTTTAACTAATTCTAAATAAGTAAGGTTTCAGATGCATGTCGAAATCCCCACAGTTCGTAATACACTTGCTCAATCTCTTTCTCTCTTCTTTTGTCTTCCTCAGAACAGAGAGAGGTTAATGGGTTGGGTATTAAGCAAATTTGAAAGAAAAAAAACATATCTCACCAGCGGGTCTCACTGTGGTTGTAGATTCGTTGAAGTTAAACCCAGGCGAAGAATCTGCATTAAAAAACTAGGTCATTTATAATCTGTAAATCAACGTGCAAAATCTTTTATACTCTATAATAGAGTTTGGTATAATTGTATGACTCACAGATTTCTTTGAAAAAACGTCGCACCCACACTAGGACTTTCTTCTGTGTCTTGGCGGCACTTTACGAACATAAATTGCACTAGAACAAATATTCAAACCCGGAACAATTATTTGTAGGCCATACAAAAAGTTGTTCCGTGCGGGATTCGTACACGCAACTTTAGCTTTTGAGCCGTTATCTATCCCTTTTTTGAAGTATAGTTGTTTAGTTCGAGTAAACATATTTCGTGAGGAAATTGAAGTTACTGAACTAGTTAAGGGGAAATATAACCTCAAATGAATCTATCTAGATCCTCCTTTATACCGAAAATATTGCGGCATTAATTTTGAAATAAATATACAGTAAAGTTCAGGATTAATGTTAAGTACTATGTTAGACGAAAACATGATTCCGTAAAATTTTCCCGATAGAAAAAAATCCAAAGTTACCTCCAAACTGAACAATAAACCGCTGTTATTCGTAAAATACTTTAAATAAGATCATGAAACTTTGCATACTAACTGAACTAACTATAAAGCGGGGTTTATGTTTTTATTTTTTAAATTACCATTATTTTCACTGTAAAAAGAAATTACCTAAACTATCGGCGTCCTGAAGCTTGTTTGCTGCCGCCCGGTTCCAAGCTTCCGGACGCCGATAGGTTAGGTAATTTCTTTTTACAGTGAAAATAACGGTAATTTAAAAAAAAAACATAAGCCCTGCATTATAGTTAGTTCAGTTAGTATGCAAAAATTCATGATATTATTGTAAGTATTTTATGAATAACAGCGGTTTATTGTTCAGTTTGGAGGTAACTTTGGATTTTTTTTTTCTATCAAGAAAATTTTACGGAATCATGTTTTCGTCTAACATAGTACTTATCATATATTTATTTCAAAATTAATACTGCAATATTTTCGGCATAACGGAGGATCTTGCTAAGCCATTTGAGGTTATATTTCCCTTTAAGTTGCACACGCGTGACCAAGTAGTTTTATTGTACACTCATTAAGTTTTTATACCAATATATTTCTTAATCGTATACGTAGAGCAATTCTGCAGCTTTATTATGGTTATAACACGAATGGGTCGACTCGATTGGCGAAACAAGCTCTCACAGAATACCCGTATGAAAAAGCAGCTTAATACTGCTGTGTTTCGTATGAAGAGTGTAGAGAACCGGAGATTCTTTTTACTGTAAACGAGACATTTCATCTTAGCTCTTAGGATTGACAACGTATCTGAATTTTGATTCAATATAGATGTCCATGACCACCACGTCTACTTACCATCAGGTGGACTGCGCGATCATAGTCATAGTCATAGTCATAGTCATAGTCATTTATTCCTTAGAACAATATTACATTGTATTGGAAAATTAATTAAACAAAATCAGAAATTACGTTTACATGCAATTGACTTAAATAAAACAAAAATCGAATAAAATTTAAATATCATTTGACAGTCATTCTTTATACTTATATACATTCAATACTTTTCATGTCATAATTAAATATTTTTCATGTCATAATAGATTAAAATATAGTACATAAACAAAAAAAAATTAACATTCATTAAGTTTATTTTTGTCATTTAGGTATTCGTCAACTGAGTAGTAGCTTTTCTTAATTAATAATGATTTCAGTTTATTTTGGAATTTTCGGTGGCAATAAATAACTTTAAATGAGATAGGTAAAGAATTAAATAGTGCAATGGCTTGATGCCTTGTGCTGTGGCGTACAACATTCAAAGTTGGTGTAATTGAAGTTTTTAAATCTTTTTCGACGTGTCATTTCTCTCTTTTTCCTTTCTTCGTTTGTTTCATATTTGTAAAAATTTTTTACTAAGTATGTAAGTGAAACTAAGATATACAGAGAGGGAACCGTAAGTATGTCAAGTTTTCGAAAATGTTATTTACACGACTCAATTTGTGGAATACGTAACATGGTGCGGATCGCTCTTTTTTTGTAATACAAACGCTTTCTTAATATTATATTTATAACTGTTGCCCCAGAATTGTATGCTATAACGAAGTTGTGATTCTACTAGAGCAAAATAAACCAACTTAAGCTGCTTTAACGTAACTTCGTCTCGTAAACTTCTTAAGGCATAGCATGCTGAACTGATAGTAGATTCTAGTGCTGTCATTTCCTTTTTCCAGTTCAAGTACATGTCAATGTGGATTCCTAGAAATTTTACTGTTTGAACAGATTCAATATTTTTACCGTCAATGTTAATGTTTATTGAGTCCTTTTGTCTTGCTGTAGATTTGAAAAGCATTGCGTACGTTTTATTTGTATTTAGTAGTAGATCGTTAGTAGCAAACCAATTTTTAAAGTCATACAGTGTGCTTTTCATTTTGGCATTTAGTTCGTCTATCGAGTTAGCAGATACAATCGCGTTTGTATCATCCGCATAAATAGTTAACTTTACGTCTTGCTGTTTGGTATGTATGTAAGCAGTTAAATCATTAATGAATATTATAAATAATATAGGTCCCAAAATGGAGCCTTGTGGAACACCCTTCTTTAAGGTTTTCAATTTAGATTTGTATATCGTTTCAACGCCGTCTATTATTGTTTTAATCTCAACAAATTGTTTTCTATTTGATAAGTAGGATTCAAATAACCTTAAGATTGAGCCTCTAACTCCGTAATGTTCCAATTTCAGTAGTAGTATATTATGATTTATCGTGTCAAAAGCCGAACTCAAGTCTAAAAATAGACCTCCTACCTTATATTTATCATTGAGTCTACATACTACATCATCGACTAGCGTATTTATAGCATCTATAGTACCTACACGCGTTTGATAACCAAATTGCCTCTCACTTAATATATTATTTTGTCGCAAATGTGCTACTAGTCTTACCTTTATCAGCTTTTCATAAATTTTAGATAAAATTGGTAGCAAGGAAATCGGTCTATAGTTTTTGGGGTCCATTTTACTTCCCTTTTTATGTACCGGAAGTACTCGTGCAACCTTAAGCTGATCAGGAAACAGAGATTGTTCCACACACTTATTGAAAAGATAAGCTAAAGATTCAGCCAATATATCAATATTATCTTTAATAATCTTGATGGGTATTTCATCATAACCATGTGATCTTTTATTTTCCATTTCCTTAACTGTTTTTAAAATTTCATGGCTAGTAATAATCTTAAAAGGCATGTCTGTTACAATTTTCTGCACACTTTGTTTGAGAATCAATTGTGCGGAGATTGTATCACTAGCGTTTTTGCTTAATGAATTAGTTTCACTAAAATGACTTGAGAAAACATTTGCTACATCCTGTTTATTACTTACGATGTTATTGTTTACCTTTAGTAGTATATTCTCTTCTTTTTTACGAAACGAATTTTTCCTACTTCCATTTACAATATTCCAGATTTCTTTATTAGAACTTAACGCCGACTCAATTTTTCTTTGTATAGCTATTTGTTTTGCTTTTCTCAATATTCGATCGTTCGTCAACATTAATTTATGAAAAAACTACAATCCCGGTATAGAAAACGACTTCACTATACAGGGGAAATTTTAATAGCGGTCCGAACATCTCCAAAAAATAAATGAAAAGCAATGGAACTCGTCACCATAGTAGTTAAGAGAGTTAAGGAAAACAATCTAAAGGGGGCAGAATAAAATAATTTTTATTTAATTCATTATCGTCATCGTCATCATCATTACAGCCCTTCGCAAGTCCACTGCTGAATATAAGATTCCCCCAAGGAACGCCACAAAGCACGGTTCCTGAGCCACCTGCATCCATCGACATCCTCCATGTCTTACCAAGTAGTCATTCCATCTCATCATCATTATCATTCATCATTACAGCCCTTCACAAGTCCACTGCTGAACATAGGCCTCCCCCAAGTAATGCCACAAAGCACGGTCCTGAGCCACTTGCATCCATCGACTTCCTGCATGTCTTACCAGGTCGTCACTCCATCTAGTGGGGGTCGCCCTACACTACGCCTACCGGTACGAGTTTGCCACTCGAGAACCTTTCTTCCCCATCGGTTATCGGTTCTTCGTGCTATATGGCCGGCCCATTGCCACTTCAGCTTACTAATCCGTTGGGCTATGTCGGTCACTCTGGTTTTACTGCGGATATCCTCATTTCTGAGTCTATCACGCAGTGAAACTCCGAGCATAGCCCTCTCCATAGCTCGCTGAGCGACCTTGAGCGTCCTCATACGGCCAGCAGTGAAGGACCACGTCGCAGATCCGTAAGTCATCACTGGCAACACGCACTGGTTATACACTTTAGTTTTCAGAGATTGAGGTATACCTGACGAGAAGATGTGTCGTAATTTCCCGAACGCCGCCCAGCCGAGTTGAATCCGTCGATTGACCTCTCGGTCGAAGTTGGACTTACCTAGTCGGACTATTTGTCCAGGTAAACATACTCGTCAACAACTTCGAGCATAGTGCTCCCAACAACTACCGGCATAGGTGTGGCATGGACATTAAACATGATCTTTGTTTTGTCCATGTTCATCTTAAGATCCATCCGTTGGGAGACACCATTGAGGTCATTGAGCATAGTGCTAAGGTCCTCCAGCGATTCCTCCATAAGGACTATATCGTCGGCAAATCGAAGGTGAGTGATGTACTCGCCATTGATGTTAATACCGTATCCTTTCCAGTCCAGTAGCTTGAAAATGTCTTCGAA